AGATGCACGCATATGACAAGTGCGTGCACGTTAATATAGAAACAAGCATTAAAATACGACACACAAATAACTTTACCTTCACATCTCACACAGTCCATCTGAAGCTGCTCTGACGAAAGGGATGGATGACAGGCATCGCAGACGCCAGCACACATAGTCTTCAGCATGCTGTGTACCCACGGCTGCACAATAACTATGTAAAATAGTGAGTCACACGTGACAGAAGATGAACACAAATGCATATGAGAACTGCGTGCAAGGTGAAATGAAAACATACGTGAGATATGACATGCTAATAATTTCACCGTGATGTCACAAATTGTTAAAGACTTATTTCGATCCCCGTAGCGCAACAGCTTAGAAGCAGCGGCCGCAGCCATAACTCCGCGAACCACCGCGCCGCTAACAAGTCGGCGAGTCCTAAGCGAGCGACGTCGTTCAGCTCGAGCAAGCGAACGCGAGACCAAACACTGCGTTGCACATGGAGTGCCTGCCGCCAGCGGACTTCGAGCAGAAGAGCGAGCGTACGCTTGGCCGACGCCACGAACAGCGAGTGCACATACCATCAGCGAGTGCACATATATGTAAGGCCAGGCGCTCGTATAAGCAAGCTGGATCTGGGAAGCGCGCGAATGGTGAGGGGCGGGGGCGGTGCTCGTGCCTTTGATAACCAGTAAGCAGAACTTGAACGAAACCGCGTGATTGCTCGTAAAAAGAGAAGCAACCACTTAGATAACTTGACAAATTTGTTGGCGTCCGTTACATAGATACTGTCCGGTGTTGCACTTCATTCTATTTTCGTGGCACTAATGAAAACTACACGGCGAAAAGTTCACGACAGTGTGATTATCCACTGGGATACATGCTAACGGGGGACCCTGCGTATTTGTTCTCGTTGATATCACCATCCCTTCTTACCGTGCACGCAAGAGGCATACAGTATTTTTAGGAATGCCACTTGCTCACAAAAAGCATTGAATTCAAAACGCAATACAGTGAAAAACAAAAGCTCACAACGCTCGTAACAGAAAAAATACTACGTATTGCAACGTATACCTTTGTTTTGCATAAGCATGACACCACTGTTTGTGAAGTGAAAATTATTCATTCACATTCACAACGAATCATCTCATCTGTGAAGTGTTTGCTGTAGACTGCATCCATTGTGCTGAGCGGACGGTCTTTCCTGGAAACTGCTTGAGTCCAGGCTTTGAGACATTCGGGATCAGAATGAACATCGGATACTATTACATTTTTTTAGCACGTAGGGTAACCTGATCGGCAACCGCAAGCGAAGCGCTTTTTTTTTTATATTCACTCACTGTGCGGGCGTCTTTTTTCAGCAGATTTCATTCATGGATGCTCATAGCATCAGGAGTTCGTTTTGCAAACGAGAATAATGAAACGCCTTCTTTACTTCATGAAACGCGCCAAAGGCACGCTAGCGGCTGAAGTGGCCGAAAGACTTCTTTCATGCGCGTGAAAAACATGACGCTTTCGGAATGCAGGCGTTGACACCAGCCTCATCGGTTGTTGTTGCAACGGTGCCTGATTTTTTCTATGGACGGTTTCAATGTTGAAAGCATTGTACCCGAAAATTTTCCGATCACCTCGCTTAGCAGCTCCTCGCGTGGAAACTGAAAGAACTTTTTACAGTTCTCTCAAGAGTAAGGAAAGTCTCTCCTTCGTTCTTCTCATAAAATGAACTTGCGTAAAACACAAGGGAATGTTTTATCATTTTTATGTAAGTCAAAACAACATTTACATCAATATATCTTGCCAAATAAGGGAAGTAAACTGTACAAAATCAACGGAATATTTTCTGGAGCTCTTGTTGGATTGGATTGAATAAACTTTTCTTTGGTCCTCCAAAACTCATATCACTGCGTTGCGGGCAGCTCCCACGCGGGGACTGAGATGCCGAGCTCCTCAGTCGTGTCGCGTCTCGACAGAAGCGACACGATGAAGGCCTGTGTGCTCGTTGTGCGATGTCTGTGACCGTTTAATCAGCGGTCTTGTTCTGCGGCGTGCCACGTATCATCATGTGTGGTATGTGTTATGTAATGATAAAGCCACAAATTTATTCCTCCACAACGCGACACTCGCTTTAGAGCTATGCGGTCATACAGTCTTCACTAAAATAACAGTGTATTTGACCCCCTCCTTGATTTACATGCCCCCCCCCCCCAAAAACGAATAGAATGATGATTCACGATAACGAATAAACGGTTCTGAGACTTTATCATTGCATTTACAGTTTTTTAATACTATATCATTATGGTGTATTGTTGCCTAAACCTCTCTTTCACAGACACGTCGAATACTGAAATCCAGCTAAAGATTATTTTGCATTGAACTTTTGAATGCCTTTTTCTCAAAACCTCTGCGCCCATATTTGTTTTCTACACCTGATCATGTGAGGGCTCTTGCTTCTGAAGGTGAATCATTGATCTTTGAATAGGGCGCAGTGCCTTTTCTTTAGATAACCTGCAGTTTTTATTGTGGTACAATCTTGCATTAAAAGCCTGACAATCGTTTATGGCACAGTGTTACGTTCACAACTGTAGTCATAACAAAAGCTAGCGTCCTTTTGATCACCAGAACTGTTTTATATTCATATGTTGCACGTATGTTGCAACCAATTTAAAACGTGTTTAGTTCTAAACAGCGGTTCAGGCACAGTGCCAAAAATCATGGCACTTTTTATATTGCGTTTCGGTGCATTGGTTGTGTCCGCTTTTCTCAGCACCGTATATTGTTCATCTGGCGATTTCTTCCCTACTATGAACGAGCTACAGGAGGTAAGTATATTTCTTCAACTACGATTTTTAGAGCTATTTCGTGCATAGCATGCCATAACTGTGCTGCACAATGTGGCTTACTAAACATGGCAGACCGGACATCCTTGATTTTGTACGTTTGTACACCTTTCCTTCACTATTCAGCAAGACACCACATGTTACCGACGTAAACCTTTCATTGGGAAAGGAACTATAGAGGCACGAAGAATACTTGTCTACGCCTATGTTGTACATTTTATTAATTTCGCACAATGTTAATTTTTTAATATAGTTCTATAAAAACACAGCTTTAGATCCCACAGACTCACGAAGTCGATATGATGTGATTGTGAAGCAGACATCGGTAAGCATGTTATTGCGTATATCTTTTTTTTTAATTCAGTGACACATTGCTGATAAGGCCATTAAACGCAAGTGCTATAACGTAGGAACACATGACGGTGACGCCTAACTCTATGATGGACTAGTGTTTGCTAGCTACAGTGCTTACCTCTGTCATTGACATTCGCTAGTTCGCAAAACTTGAGATCATGCCATGGCACAATGTTCGTGTAGGCACCTTGATGGTGCTTTTATAGTAAAGTGACATGGTGTTGATTAATATGACATGAACATGCACACCTTACTTTAGAATTGTGTGACCATCAAACGATACCTAGTATTGTGATTAACTGGAGGCACCGCTAATGCCGTCGTAATGTATAAAAAGATCTACGAATCTGCTTTACCTCTGAAGTCCTAAGAGACAATGTCCTGCAATTCTTAAATTTTCTATTACTGTTTCGGGGGAATCATGTTTATCGCTCTTAGTCTCTCCGTTCAACAAAAACCACTTTTAGGCTATCGCTCTCCTGATTCAAAATTGTAGCGATTGGATTGACCACGTCTCATCTCAATTAGGCTTTAAAAAAGTGCTGTTGTCATGCGGTATGTGAGAGATTTTTTCCGCAGGTTGACAGATTTAAAGCGGCTGGTTTCTCGCACCTGGTTCTTGCCTCCACTTTTGAGCACTTTTTTCATCCCTTGAAATGTAAACAAAATGAGTGCCTTCAAGCTGCGGTTTTGCCCTCGGCCAGACGACAAGAGTTCATTGTTTAGCTATATCTGTACTGGGTGCGGCGCCATTTGATGAAGGTTGACATTCTATATGAAATAAATGTTGTCTTTCGTACTGGCACACAGTTGGGAAGCGTGTGGCCGAATGTTGACAAAAGAGTGCAGAAGGGGCAGGTCACTGTAAGAACATGAAAGTTGCTCTGTAAATAGCTGTAGGCGTTTTGCTGACTGTGCGAGCGGAGTGATGTACACCATCCCCTTTGTCATGCGGTGGTACTTACATTGGGCAGACGGTATGTTGCCTCAACACCCTTCTAAGGGAGCATGCTAGCTCTCTGGAAGGTACACCATTTATGCATCTTTTCCTTCATTGCCAGCCTCGCATTTGGCAGCAGAGCTAATCAAAGCCACTGCAGTGATGAGGCATAGAGACTAGCGCATATCTGAAAATGCTGAAACGTTTGAAATGACAAAAGCAAGAGAGAGATGCTACAGCTAGTCTTCAATCGCTTTTGCAGATGCTGAAATTTCATACCTACGGCACAGCTGATTCCATTGTTGGCGAGGGCTGATAAGATCTTTAGTGTTTTCCTTTACGCTTACAAATGCCACGTTTTTTCCATCAAACTTGTAGTTGTTAGACAGCTGCTAAGTCATTCAGTTCCTTGTACTTTGAGATCATCTTTGTTTTGTGCTCATCGTGATGAGTATGTTAAAAACAGCTGAAATTGCTACTTCAGTGATGAAATGCACCGTCCGCAAAACTCCACAAGAGATGCGTAGACGGTAAAACATCTGTGACGACCACACCGAAGGAAGTCCCCTTTGTTGGCTGGCAGGCTGCTTTTGATTGTTCGATGAAGCGCTGGTAGTAGTGAACGAAAGCCGGAGGAGAGTACTTTAAAAAGTTGCCGAAAGATTCAAAACTGATGTATATAGAACTGTAACAAAAATTTTCAGAAAACTTTGAGGCAGGCGCGGTCTAACCATAATCTCGCACTGTGTCTCCTAAGTTTTGAAGAGCACGACACATTTCTTTCTCGTAAATTTCAATGTGTGCTCACAATTCCAGGCTTTGAAAACGGGAGAAAAAATTTGGCTAAAACGAGCCAATTATTTTTATTTTCATCTGGATTGTTTCGCCTGGCAAAAAATATGGCTCAATGGCACCTACTATAGCATGTACGTCTGGTACAGGAAAACTGAGCATTGGTAAGTGCGTTGAAACAAAAGGCATCAATCAAAGCAAGATGACAACTAGTATTGCACTTCTTCGTGTATTTAAATAATCAACGGAATGTGAAAAGCTTATAAGCAAGTCAGTTTTTTTTCCTTGGTAATGCTACCTGGCGTAAAGCCTCAGGCTTCGTGGTGCACAATTTCTATTGCAGTCAACGGGTGCGGAAACAGTAGAATTAAGCAAGACAGAGGCACGTATAGCAACTCATCTGACTGATTCTACCTGCGCTTTGGTGCTCAGTTTCACCGCATTTTTACCTTCTTACTCAATCACTTATTTATTGCTATATATGTCAATCGATAGCTGATGGATTGGCTTGGTTATTATGAAGGGTTTCCCGTACCAAAACCACCGTATGATTACGATAGATGCCGTAGTGGACGACTCCAGAAATTTCGACAACCTGGGGTTCTTTAACGTACGCCCAAATCTGAGCACATGGGCCTACATCATTTTTGCCTTCTTTGCAAATGGGGCCCCGACAGCCGGGATTCGATCCCGCGACCTGCGGGTGAGCATCCGAGTGCCTTAACCATTAGACCACCGCGGCGAGGTGCCAATTGATAGCTAAAAAGAAAACTCGAATCATCTGTGGGCCAAGATACGCCACTCACTGAAAATTACACACGGACGACCACTCAGCAAACAGCAAATATCTGACCTCGAATATATGAGTGATCTTATACAGCTGTTTTGATCTGCTGAATGCACGCACTAAAGCTAGGGGTACTAAATCAACTCAGATAAAAAATAAATATTACGTTATGAAAATTGTAGTGTGAAACTCTGATGCTTACTGCCAACAATAAGGACCCACGTGAAACATGAACAAAAGGTCATATTTGTTTTGTAAGCAGTCAAACTAGTTTCTTTTACTTTCCTGGGCTTAATATACGACATGTATGGTGTGGGAACGGTGTAGCGAAATACGCGGAACTTCAAAACCATGTCACACACGTGGTGATAGGTGAAATCAATACAAATTCATGCAGCAGAACCTAAGCGTCACCCCTCCGTGGTGGTCTAGTGCCTAAGGTACTCAAATGCTGACCTGTAGGTCGGGGAATTGAACCACCCCTACGGCAGCTGCATTTTCGATTCATGCGAAAATGTTGTAGGCCCGTGTGCTCAATATTGGGCGCACGTTAAAAAACCTGAGGTGGTCGAAATTTCCGGAGCCCTCTACTACGGCGTCCCTCGTAATCATATGGTGGTTTTTGGACGTTAAACCTCGCATATCAATCAATCAAAAACCTGAGTGTCTGTGAAACTGAATAAAACTACGAGATTATGATGCCACTGACGCTTCTGAAGTGTTTCGCCTTATCTTATATGCAAATTTGATTTTTTTATGTATTTCTGGAAATAAAACACGTACGTGTGGAAGTGTCAGGCACCACGGAAGATACACCAGTTTCTCAGCAGGCGTAAAACCTGACGTAAACGACGCACGATGAGCACAAACAAATGCACTAAATTTCGTGCAGGGCCTCTCAGTAGCGATGGTTGCCAAGTGATGGGAAGGATTCCTAGCATGTTGCCTGGGGTACGTACGCACCGTTTCAATGGTGATGTGCGTCTTGATGGAGTAGTCCTGTGCAATGGCAATTGTTTCAGCTGTCGATGCGCAGCGGGGTAAACCAAGGCATATCCTAAGCGCTTGGGCTTGAATATTTTGGATTGTGCGCAGGTTCGTTTTGCACGTGCTAGATATAACAGGTAGGCTATACCGCAGGAATCCAGTAATGAATACCTTGTACAGCTGTAACATAGACTCGACAGACATTCCCCAACTTTTGCCAGCAAGAAACCTGAATAAGTGACAAATCGCAGTCAGCCGCTTTTTCACGTAGTTTACGTGGGGTGTCCAAGACAGGTTTCAGTCGATTACGACTCCCAAGAACCTGTGACTCCGGCTGCATGACACCAACTGCCCGTTAATTGATATGCCGTAAACGTACATTGGTTTTCTGGTGAAAGTCACGACTGCACACTTCTCACTTGCGATTTCGAGCCCTTGTTTGCGTAAGTGGTACGATGTCACTGATGCTGCCTTCTGAAGTCGAGCGCGAAGTTGAAGTCGAGTCACACCTGATGTCCACACACAGATGTCATCATCAGCCTAAAAACAATTGAGCTTGAGCTATCAGCACAAAATGTACAACAACCACATGCACATATACACCGATTGTTCAACCACAGCGTCTGGTTCTGGTGGTGCGGTGGTGATTCCAGCTAGAGGAATCACTCTGCGAATCAAACTGTCACATGTCACTATGTCTACGGTGGCAGAACTTGCGGCTTTGCGTGGCGCCCTAGAGTACATCAAAATCCCAAAGACCGAGTAAATGGGCTATTTTTTCCGACTGAAACCAGCCCTACAGAGCATGCAGTCAGTCCTTCGACGAGGTTGCCATGAACAATTAACTTATGAAGTTGTCAAGCTTGCTCACCACGTCACAGAAACAGGCCACGAGGTCAAGTTTCAGTGGCTTCCTGGCCAATGTGGGATCAGTGGCAATGATTCCGCAGACAACGCGGCTTGCACATCGCACCAAGAAGAACACACCCTTCCGATTCCTTTGTCAAGGACTGACGCTGCAAAGCAACTTCGTCACCTGGCACGTAGTCTGAGTCTGCAGGAGTGGAACACCCCAAGCATAAGACATACGAGACTATACCAAATAAATCATTGACTGGAACTACGACCTCCATCCGGACTTCGTCGACGTGAAGCTTCACTTCTTTGTCGCCTTTGGTTGGGGGTTTGCCTTCACAAAAGCATATAGAACCCTCATCGGATTGACCGACAATGCGGAATGCGACGTCTGCTGCACCAAAGAAGACATCGACCATATGATATGCCATTGCCCTCGATTCGCCTCTGAAATACAGAAGCTTGCGGACGCATTGCGACAATTGGACGATCAGCCCCTCTCTGTGAAGATGCTACTGGAACACCTTCATCGCCTTTCGTCGGCTCAAAAAGCAATCAAAGCTGTCTTGTGCTTTTTGAGGACTAGAGGCCTACATGACCACCTTTAACTTTTGTGTAGTGCCCCCGCTGCATACGCACCTGCTGAATGACTGACGATCCTCCTTTTTTGTTTTTTTCTCTCTCTTTCTCTTCTCTTTCCCTTCTCTCTCTCATCTTTATGCCCCCTTCCTATTTCCCCAGCGTAGGGTAGCAAACCGGGCATGTGCCTGGTTAACCTTCCTGCCTTTTCTCTTGTTGTTTATCCTCTCTTACCTTATATGTGTTATAACTTTCATTCGATGTTTTTTCGATGATTTTGTTTTGTTTTTATGACAATTTTCGAGGTGAAGCCACACTTACAACTTAGTCTATTTATGGGAATGTTCTGTGGGATGATTCGTGTAACAGGGTAAACATCAGAAAAATAAGAAAACAAATGATGACATAGTGGAACGTTCTTGTTTAAAAAATGTTAAAAGAAAATGACGTAGTGGTATCGTAGGCATATATGTAGGCTTTGCCGTGAGCGGACAAATTTGCGCTTTAAATGATTGTGGCGCGTTAGCCCAAAAATAATTATTTGTGTACTTTTCAGTGAGTGTATCTTAATTGAAACCTTTCAACAAGAGAAATAATTAGTGTTTTCCAGTTGCCTCAGTCTACCTTAAGCAGTATAGAAAACATCATTAAAAAGTACTCGTTATGATATGAATTTTATATATGCACAACAAAGTTGAAAAGTACGTTTTAAATAGAATTATGCAAGTTTTTCACTTGGCATTTTGAGATTATTCCATAGTAGTGGGCATGTACAAAAAAGATTTCACTTTATGAACTCTACTGGACTGAAGCTTTATTTTTTGTACACCAATATTTTAATTGTCTCCTAATTTTTGAAATGTACAAACTGAACGTTGACTTTTGGGAACGTCATTTTAAAGAGACTGGAGGCACCTTAGGCAATCTTCTGCAGCTTTGTGTAAAAACACCTTTGCTAATCTTCTGCAGCTGTTGTGTCCTAACGGCAGCTCTTGTCCTCAGATTTACATTGTGCGTTTTTGCATCGAATAGTAAATTTTGTCTCTGCTTGCATAAATCATGTATTGCAGTACTTAAGTTGGCAATGCTTTCGCGATTTTAGTGAAAATGTTGCATAGAATCCCTGAAAATAATCTTATGAGATGAGAACACAGAAGGGTCTCTTTTATCTAACTTCTGCTTTAGGAGGAGTGCAGCGCAATAGTATAACCAGTTGTGCAAACAAGTAATGATGCAGTGTGGCACAGGAAAGTTTGCTATTAGCCTCAGAACGAACACTGAAGTCGCTGCTATCGCGATGGCGTGATTTCATGGCATTGATTCGCCTGCTACACCACCGCTTATCGCCCTTTTCGGCATTCGTTGTGCACGTGCCCGCTCTTTAGTGATACCGTGCTGATTACTCTTCAATTTTGTTGTGTAAGTTTTTCAAGGTATCAGTTGGAAGCGAAAGTTACTTGAGCTGCCTAAAGTTTTGATAATTTGGCTTAGTAAAACCAAGTTCGAGCCTGAATGGTAAACATTTGTTGATATGACTGCGTACACAAAAAACAGTGCTATAAAAATATTCAAATTGATTCTAACTGGACTACAACTAGGCATACATTTTGGCTTTAAAACTTGTGGGCTGAATTATTCAGAATATTTGGACGTTGCGAATCGACTAACTGCGTTGTGGTTTATCATGGAAGATGCGTCTACCTCTGCAGAAAATCTAGGTGATTTTATAGAATGGCGATTCCTCAAAATAGAGACTTCACATCTATATGGGTGTCATAAGCAACCACCTAACGTATCCCCCCCTACCAAAAAAAAACACCATCGCACACATCATGGTTTCAGAAATGCTGAGATGTCCGTTTACTCGGATCCATCTTATACACAGACTGGTTCTCAACAGTCACCGATGATTATGCGGATGTGAACGCTACTCTGCATGAAATGCTGGTCCGAACT